GAACACCAGGCTCAGATAACTCAGCAACCTGTGCACATCCCTCCTCAGTTTAACATGCTCGGAACTGTTCCCTGGACCCTGCACCAGGCTCAGATAACTCAGCAACCTGTGCACATCCCTCCTCAGTTTAACATGCTCGGAACTGTTCCCTGGATCCTGCACCAGCCCAGAAGCTGCTCTTGCTCAGCCTCCTGCACTGCAGTCTGTGGCAATGCCACCTGTTTAGTCTTCAGGCCCAAACTTCAGAATTCCCTTTAACTCTTCTTTCTTTCAGATCACACATATAATTTGTCTGTAAACTGTTAGATCTACCTTAAAATACTGTTTGCCCAGAATCTTACTACTGACCTCACTGCTGCTACCCTGGCCTGAGCCAACGTCACCCTCGCCTGGGTTTTACCCGTACAGACCTAATTAACTGTTCATCCTGCTTCTCCTCACACATGCTACAGTCCTTTTCTATTATAGCAGCCAGAGCCATCCTCTTAAAATGCATTTTGGACCATTCTGATCTTATTTCCTAGAAGTTTTCTCCCCTGCTTATTTCCCTCTAGACACCACAATTTCCTTGAATATACTAAGAACACTGTAGGGAAGAATCCCAGAACTCTACTGTCCTGAATTCTAGCAGAGTAATCTATTCAGAAGACCATGGTTATTGACAATCCAAAAGATGAAACAACACCTGTGTTTTTATTTATTTTTTTTTACCTTGCATGAATCTTGAGATTGCTGGAAGTTGCAAATTGTAAATTGCACACATCACATTTGTAGGGTTTTTCCTCACCATGATGCATGCGACTATGGAAGACTAGCTGGCATTTCTGAGCAAATCCTTTATCACACAATTCACATTTGTATGGCTTCTCACCTATAGGAACAAGTAAGCAAAATTTATGTTTAGAAGAAAACACTGTTTTAGTTGCTTAAGTGATAATCAGTATTCAAAAGAATTCTCACACCTGTAAACCTCGCACTCTGGGAGACCAAGGTGGATGGACTGCTTGAGCTCACCAGTTCAAAAGACCACCCTGAGCACAGTGAGAGACCCCATCTTCACTAACTATAGAAAAACTGAGGCAAGAGGATTGCTTGAGAGTAGGAGGTTGCTGTGAACAATGATGAAACCATGGCAATCTACACAAGGCCACAGCTTCACGCTCTGTCTCAGGGGAAAAAAAGAAAAAACAGTTCATCAACAGTACTGGCTTTGGTATTCAGAAAATGTTAACTGCCAGAAATAAAAGCAAATGGGATCTCTTTCCAGACTACTGAAAACACCAGTAGAATTACTGAGAAGACGTTTATGTGACTCTAAGCAAATGTTCAAAAGTCAGCTAAGTCCAGGAGGTAGATAACCAGAAGTGTTGGCAAAATCCGAACATTAGCCTGAGGAGTAATTACATTTCCTCTTTATCAGTTTTAGTATCTGTCTCTGTTAAGTACCTGGCAAACTAGAACCAAATTTATGCTTGATACGTTAGGACGCAAAATATCAGTTATTATAAAATAGCCATTAAATACTTCATTATAATTACAAATAAATTTCCAACAGTCTATCCAGAACGGTGGCTTATGCCTGTATTCCTAGCATTTTGAGGACAAGGTGGGAAGATCACTTGAGGCCAGGAGTTTAAGACCCGTCTGGGCAACACAGCAAGACCCATCTCTACAAAGAAATTCTGTAAAAAGCCCAGCATGGGTGGCACAAGCCTATGGTCCCAGCTACTCAGGAGTCTGAGGTGGGAGGATTGCTTGAGCTCAGGAATTCAAGGTTACAATGAGCTATGATTGCACCACTGCACCCCACCCTGGAAGACAGAGCAAGACCTTACCTCTAAAAACAAAAATTTTTAGCAGCCTAACATTGTAAATATTTTTATGAATAGAATATACCAAATTTTGGTTACAAGTAGTGTATGGTAATATGCTCTGTATAAAACAATTTTAGTCACAGCATAAAAATAATTCTATCTCCTCAGAAACCAGTCTTACCTGTGTGAGTTCTTACATGTGTTTTCAGCTGGTTACACTGGGTGAATGCCTTTCCACACAAGTGGCAGACATAGGGTTTGACTCCTTTGTGTATTCTCATGTGCCTTCTCAAGCTGCTGGCTTCTGAAAACACTTTCCCACACGTGTTGCACACTGGCTTGGCCTTGGAGTACCTCTGATCCAGCTCTTCCCCAGAGTTCTCCAGCTCATATGGACTCTTGACACTGGCTATATTGGACATGGAGTGTTCTTTCAGAGCACAGCTGGGCTGTGATTTTCCTCGTTTCCGTTTCACTGTAACAGTTTGCACAATATCTTGTGCTGGAAAAGTGTTTTCCATAACTGATGTCAACTCGAGTTCTGAATTATCATTTCTCTGTGCAATTTGCTCTACTACAGGTGTGGACAACTTACTGGCATCTAAGAATAATTCAACAGATGCATTTTCTAAAATGTCATTGGGGTATTGCACTGTTTTATTCTGCCCTGCTTTCTGGGAGTTGAAAGGCTTCTTCTTCTTTTTACTTTGAGATGACTTCTTTGCCAAAGCTCCTTGTTTAGGATTTGCCTGAACTAAATCTGCAGAGACTTCTGATTTTTCCCGAGTGTTATAATCTCGCAGAGTAAGAAGACAAGTCTGTTGATTCAATTCAATGTTTCCAGTAATACTAGATATCTCTGTAGAAGAAGGATTAGCAATAAAAGCAAAATCTTCCATCTTTATTTTACATTTTGTAACCACCTCTTCCACTTTGAGATAGTCAGCAGCCTGATGAATTTCTTTAACATTCCAACTGTAAGGGAACAAAGCTAAATGACAACATTCCGATCAAAGAAAAGCTGTTTTTGAAACACAGCTGCAATATACTGCAGCGTCTTTTAAAGATCTAATGAAGCAGAATGTTGAAAAAGGCCTAAGAGAAAAACCTATTTATATAACTAATTCATTCAGAATAAAATTCAGGTAAAAATCTCCAATTTTACAGAACTTGGAAAGATGAAAAATAAGCGCTATTCACAGCCATCAATGGACCATTACAGAAAATGAAATGTTAAAGTCTCTGCTTTTAAAAAACCTTGGAACAGGAAACAGGTGGGGCAACTCACTGTCTCCTCCCATTCACCCCAAGGCCTATGCAGATAGTAACCAACTTTTCCAATTGGCATTAGGAAGAGTAATGACTTGATCCCCATCATCTTCCCCCTCCTCTTCTGGGAGGGACTTTGTTTCAAACTTTACTGTGCATATGAACCATGCAGGGAGCTTGGACATGCAGACTCGGATTCAGGAGGCCTGTGACGGGGCCTCAGACTCTGCATTTGTAGTATGCTCGCTCCCTGGTGATGCCAATGTTGCTGGTCTACAGGCCACACTTGGGAGAAACAAGGTTTGATTCTGTATGAAACTCTCTGTAGCAACCCTCTCACCTTTTTTGGCAATATTCAACCCATGTTATCTGGACCAAAATCTAATAATGGTCATATTAGAGTTATATTAAAAAGATGTAGCCACCTTGTTCAACCTTCTGATCAAGGTTTACTGAGTGTTCGCCATGATAGTACTCAAGAGACAGGAAGAAATAACAACAGTCCCTGCCCACTCTCCAAAAACGGTGTTTCTTCTTAAGCATTTTTATTGATTTTTGTCATGTAACTTATTATTAAAAAGTATGACACGAGAAGAATGAAAATCGCTTTCATTCTACCTTTTATACACATACTTAACTAAAAAGTTCTTTTGGTTTCAAAATTGTGTGTTTAGTGTTCCATAAAATGAACCACGAGATACCAATGTCAGCTAGTAGCCTTTAAGACCAAGGTAACTGCCATTAAGTAAAACCTTAATTATACAACACTAAAATAGTAAGTCATATAAGCTGTGCATTTCGTAGACAGCCTATTATATCAAGTCAGTTAAGCGAACCAATCAGCATTTGTTTACTTCAATAATTGATCTGCTTTTGTTTATAAGTATTAACTATTTCTGAACTTCCATCTTTTGAACAGCTATCAAGTTTATCTAATTACATATTGCCATGTGTATGCCTAAATGTTTTATAAGAGTAGTTCATTTAATTCTTAGAACACGCCTATAATATCTATTATAATCCTCATTTTACAGAGAAATGAAAAATCAGAGATTCAAAGAAATTAAGTAACTTAAGTTTGAGATCATGAAGTGTTAGAACCAAGACTGACTAAGCAGTCCGGCCCTAGAGCCTACTTAATTCTATTATTCTGCCTGTTTTCTTAATCACTAAGTTGTAGGCCTTTCTATTCTGGTGTAAGTCCTCTCTTCCATTCCTGGCTCAAAGAATTAGCTACCCAGCTCCTCAGGAATGTACCAGGGAAGACTGAACAAAATACTTGGCTCTTCTTTACACTGGTTCTTTGCATGAGGGTTCAGGAAAGGCACTCTGTTCTGTGTTCAAATCAATTTGAAACTTTTTTTCTGGCATAGTTGAGAAAGCGATTAAATTGAAGGTCAGCCAAAATTCCCAGTCTTATGGTTATTTTTTATTTATTAAGTAATTTAAATTCTTAGATCAGAGATGCCTGTATAGTCAACTATTAAGTAGATTTAAATAAATTTTCATGTGAGATTAACCTATGACATTATTCCTTTAACTTATACAGAATTGACTTATGTGAACATTACACCAAAATTTAAAAATAAATCCATAATGGCATGACTGTTTCCTTTTCAAAAGGACTGCACCCTGATTCTAGCTTTAAGACGTTTACTTCCACAATAAGCTACAATTTAAAAGGGAGAGAAGGGTTCTGCTTACTATGTACATGCACATCTCCACAGAGATCATCTGGAAAAGTGAATATTACACAGAAAAATGTTAACAGTGGTTATCAGTGGGTGGGAGAATTTCCAATGTTCCCCTTTTTTGTTTTTTTTCTAATTTTTTCTCCAAGAAATGTGGGATTAAGGGGTGAAGAGAGGGGAGGGTAGAGAAGAGAAAATTTAAAGAGAATTCTTTTTAGGCAGACAGGTGGCCTCTGACGGTAGGTAGTGCATTTAGTTATCTCATGGTAGGGAAACTTGAATTTGAGTGGGAGACATCCTCATCACTGGCTGAAGGAAGAAAGTGAATGTTCACCTGGAGCCGAGCTTCAGGTAAATCCCTATTTACTCTTCATAGTCAACTAACACCAAGGTAATTATTACCATCTCATTTTTAGATGGGGAAACTGAGGCCAAGAGAGGGATTATCTTGCTCAAGAAGACACAGTGACTAACAGGTAAGATTTAATTCCAAAGCCCATAATATTTCTATGTTAGAAGATTATAGACAATGCTTGCATACACACTTTTCTTAAGAGATGGAGGTAAAAAGACGGGTTATTTGACTAGTTTCTCTTTGCTTTTATCCACTGAGCACCTCCCTACCCTAAACCAAATCTAATTATATGGCTCATTAACTAAGGGGGATACACAGTCCCTGCATATCATTTTCTTCAGAACCTACTTCTTGTCAATGCAGTTGACAGCAGAAAGCATCTGAGAAAATCATTCTAGTATCTCCAACGTGACTTAAGCATTAGGACTGGTCAGTTAACAGAGATGAGAAAAGGTGTCCCTGCCATTTTGTGCTCCAACTAAGTTATTTTCCAGAATCAAGATTAGAAAGAGGTCCTATAAGCTGCTGTTTTGGCAATGGGAGCACTATTATATGAACAGAGAGGTTCTTCCTTCTTTCCTCATCTACTCTCCAAAACCCTTAACAGGTAAGGGATAGCATGACGGAGAGAGATCAGAGGACTATGAAAAACAAAAAGCAACAGGAAACTGGAATTCACTTAGAATTTGTTGTGTTTGATCTTCAAGTTTACATAACTAAAACCAAAACCATAACTAAAACAGATTTAGATAAATGTGTAAGAAATCTTACTGTTTTGCACCTTTGCTTTTTGTGCTTATAAAATGTTGTTTGCTCATCCCAAATCAATAATACTGACTTCTTTATTAAAATGAACATTAATTGTATAAATACGTGAAGACTGAGTTTGGAGAATGAATAGAAAAAATACAAATCATCTTCAGCTCTAAAGACTACTGACTAGCTTTTTATAACTGATAATAAAATGTGTACTTTACCTGTCAAGATTTAAAGTTCCTGTGTATATAAACTCCAACAATTTCTGAAATCCATCAGCCTTCACCTGACTCTGATCAAGAAAGACATTGTTCTCAGAAGTGCTTCTGTAGATTGCACCAAAATACTCACTAAACGAGGCGAGCACATTCCTATGAGCTTTAAATTGGAATTCCCCAATCACTATGGTGCAGTCACAAAGAAAACCTGCTTCTCGTTGTTTGTTCAGTCTCTCTAAAAGGTGCTCACAGTGGTGTGAATACTGCATTTTGATATCAGAATGGGATTTTACACTTGATCTAAAAGACAAAAAGAAATAGTAAATCAGTAACTGTAAATTTTTAACAAATGTTCACTCAAGCAATTTGATAGGGGGTGGGGTGGGGTGACAGAGGACATAAAAGGAACAAGAACCAAGTTAACTCTCATTTTACCTCCCCTCCTCCCGCCCCCAAATCATTATCAAGCACGTATGGCTAAAAATGCTTAAGGGATAAGTGACTTTGTTTTGTCTTAACCAATTAACGCAATCCTTTGGACACACCAATAAATGACGATGAATGTTAACGTTTCCTTTACCAACTGAAAAAAACGCTGCAAAATTTCACGCTTTTTTTTTATCAGTTGGCCCCTCAGACTTTCAAGCTCAAGATATATGCATGTTAAGAAAACATTTCCAAAATCAAGAAGAAGTGATCCCTTGGGACAGAAAGGAGGAGACACGGTACGAGTTGCTTCAAATTGTTCCCGAACCACCAAAACCTGTTACTTCCCCAGTGCAATTTCATCAAACCGCAAGGTGGGTGCCCAGGGGGCAGGGGACGCGCCGGGCCGAGGACTGTCACAGGTCCCATTACTCTCTACACTTCCCCGTTCCCTCCCTCCGCGCTAGGCGGCCTCGGACCGCGACAAGCGAAGCCGGTCCTCCTCGGCGCCGGCTACCAGTCCTCCACCCGGCTCCCATTCCGCCAATTCCCACAGCAGCCACCGCCCGGACCGCCTAGCTCGCGCCTCCACTTTCTCTCCGACATGCGCTCGAACCCCAAGGAGGCTGCTCTCCGACGTCCGGGGCTCGGAGGGCACGGGGGCGGCGGGCTAGGGTGAAGCTGGGCTCACCTACAGCAGCTCACAGAAGCACGGTTTCCTCACTCGCTCTCCGCCATCTTGGGAGACGTCACCGCGCCACGCTCCGCCTCTCCCTTCCGCCGCGGCGCCAAGCGCGACTCCGTCATCCCGGCGCGACGCGGCGGATTCTGAGGCCGACGAGGCCCGACGCCGGCCGGGTTGCCCCGTAGAGCTCGGGCTGCACCCCCGACCCGGACAGCAGGCGTCAGGAAGCGACACCCCAGGGCTAGTTCGCAGCGTTCGGCCCGCCTTCCCCATTCTAAATACTTAGGGGCCGAGAGGCCTGGTCTCGCTCTCGCCCCGGGCTCTAGGCCGAATCCCCCGGCCGCTCCCCAGTGCATGCTGGGGCTTGTAGTCGCCCGTCTCCACCCCTCAGCCCCCTCGTCGAGGACCCTCGGTGGAAACTGCTGCGGGGCGTGCTCCGACTGGCGGCCATTTGGTGTGTTTGAGCTGAGACCGAGAGCCCCTTTCCCGCTCACATACCCGAAAGTTCTAGGGAACCCTCCCGTTCTTGTCTGCGTCGGCCAACTCTGGCTCAGCTCCCAGGGTCCCCACCTGGCGCCGGGAGCCCGAGATGCGCAAAGCCGAGCGCGGAGGGGCACACTGGGCATGCGCGGCACCGGAGGAAGGTGGGTTTTACGCCGGAAAAGGCTTTCCGGAGTCTGGGCTAGAAAACATTTAATGTGATTATTTATATCGATTCCAGATTTGAAACAGTGAAAGAAAAAGGTCCCAGGTATCTCTGTAATAGACAAAAGTATCAGGAAAAAAGTCTTGTGATATGTGAGCGTGGATTCTTCCCTGGCACCCGCGGACACTCCAAACCTCAGAAAACTAAAACTTGAGCGATTTTTCGTGTTCAAGGTTAATGTGTAGCTACTGCCGAAAATCTACCTGCGACTTCAATCAGCGTCGGCTTAAATTACTCATTTCTCCACTCCTTAACAGTTTTCCCTTCTTACTCTCTTTATAAGTTCCTTTGTTCTGCATATTCTGTAAGAATGTTCTTGAATAAAACTTTTGAGCTTTCTTTTTTCTTGATTTCATCTTTCTGAGCATAATCGTCTTTCTGATTCCACTTTTTCTTTGTCACAGCCCTTTCCAGTCATTTATTAATTCGGAAATCTTTATGAATTTAGGGATCAGTCGTGACACCAGGTATAAAAAAATAGGAGTAAAACATGGTGTCCCGGAGTTTAGGGGGAAAAGATCAATGTCGAGGGGAAAACTGCGAAAAAGCAGTGACGAAATGCACAAGGCTGGCCATTCTTACGCTGTGTTTGATGTTTATGTCTCGTCTGTGCATTTGTTTTATTTTCAGTATTGTGAGTCGAGTTCATTTTTTAAAACTCGGGTCCGATTTTCCCGTGACGAGCCTTCAGTAAAAACCTGTGGTGAACGAATAAAGTAACATTCAAATCAGAAAGCCCAAATTGTCAAAAATTTTCAAGTTTCTAGCAAGATCGTGTTTTTGATATAAAAACTAAATATCCCAATGGTGTGGGGGAGGAAAAGTTGTTTCCGCCCGGTTTCGAACCGGGGACCTTTCGCGTGTTAGGCGAACGTGATAACCACTACACTACGGAAACCCTGATGGTGGAGAGGATACTGTAATACCTTCATATAAGTATCCGGCTGGGCACTTAACCTGCGTTTTACCTGAAGTTACATGGGATTGACGTAATTTTTAAGAGGAAAAGGAAGAAAACAGTATGTTCAATCGAATAGTGCTGAAACTATTTCAAAAGTTTGAGTGTACATGCACTGTCTTTCAAAGAGCCCCTAGATACCGGTAGAAATCAGGTATTCTAGTTTAGTTGCCTTTGGGTACACATTATTTTTCCGAGGATAAAAGCGTTTCATTAAAAATCTTTCCGCCCTGGGCTGCGCAGAATCCGGGGAGCGCTGGGGCCTTCGGCGGGCGCGGGAAGACTGTCCAGGCGCGCACCCCGAGCCCCCGCGTCCGTGCGGGCGCGCAGACCCCGGCCGCGCAGCGTACAGGCAACCCTGGGGAAGGACTTGGAATTATTTTTGAATTTCCTCTCCGTGCTTCCGAAATCCAGAGGTTCTAATCTGTATATTTGTTCTAAACTTGTCTACAGGGTGTGCAAAATCAGCCACCAAGATGCGTTTTTTTGGCATGTAATGTACTGAAATGTTTCTAAATCTCAATTTCCCATGACCTGAGAACCTTCGCTTTCCCTTCCAAGAGACAGACACATCTGAACGCCCAAATATCCGGACCAGGGAGTGAGAATTAGGTTCAATATTGCACCACAGGGGTGTAATCCGACGAGACGGGTTGTTTTTTAAGTGACTTTCTGCGACCGGGCGCGACGGCCCAGGCCTGTAATCCCAGCACTGAGGCCGAGGCGGGTGGACTCCCCGAGGTCTGTGGTTAGAGACCAGCCTGTGTCAGAGCAAGACCCCGTCTCTAAAAATAGCTGGGCGCTGTGCTGGGTACCTGTAGTCCCAGCTACTTGGGAGGCTGCAAGAGAATCGCTTGAGCCCAAGAGTTTGAGGTTGCTATGGGCTGTGACGCCACAGCACTCTACCAAGGGCAACAAGGTGAGACTCTTGTCTCTTAAAAAAAAAAAAAAGAAAGCGACTTTCTACCATTTTATTTGCATGGAAAATCCAACAAAATGTTTAGAAACCACAGGCAGGAACACAACACCATCATTGCCCAAGATGCCTAAACAATATTAAAAGCATTTAAAACTCATTTTAAATCCTAGCTCTTCTTCCCCCTCCTTTCAGGCGTTGAGCGCTTCGGAAAAAAGCAAGGAGCCTCCTGTCCTGCGACAACTTTCCCTGTTAAATCTCGTTTTTCCCAGCCAAGGGCGCGCCCCGGAGCTGCTTGGCCTACACCTGCCGACCTGACTTCAACCACTTCGGGAAATTAAGAGTTCCTGTGGCTCTTCAGAATTTTCTAGAAGAGCACTGGCGAAGGGTTAGATGTGTGTCTTTTGGTAGGAAACCCGAGTTTTCCTGATATTCGTCTTCCTGGACCCAGGGTGGGGGCGGCCCAGCCACCGGAGTGACGGCCGCGGGACGCAGGCGGTGAGGTGGGGGGCGCAGGCTGGGCTCCCCGCCGGCCGGGCCTCTGTGACGTGGCGTTCCAGGCCGGGTCCCAGCGGGCTCCAGCATTGCCCGTAGCCGAGCGGCCCGGCGACTGCTGGTGGCAGGCGGTGACGGCGGCGGCATGAACTACTACCGGCTCCCGGTGGTGATCGACAACGGCTCAGGCGCGATCAAGGCGGGCCTGGCCGGAAGCCGGGAGCCCCACTTCGTATACCCGAACATTATTGGCCGCGCCAAGGGCCCGGGCTGGGCCGCTGACGGCGAGCACGAGGTGTACGTGGGCGACACGGCGCAGGCCCGGAGAAGCTCGCTGTCTATCAGGTACCGCGTCCCCGCGGCTGGGGGAGGAGGAAGGCGGGGTAGGGAGGTGGAGGGGGAAGGACGGGAGGTGGGGCGAGGCTGGTGGGAAGGGCTCCCCGGAGAGGTGGGGAGG